GAAAAGATGGATTCTTAGATCATGATATCCATCTCGACAAAATATACCTTGCCCTTCACTCGTCTTGTAAATAAGGATGTATAAAGATTAGATTAAAATGTTCTCAATAAAAAAAAATTATTAAACTGCTTTAAAGGTACCGAAAAAGCATCTTTCATACTGACTACAGCTGTTATTATTCAAAGTTACCTGGGTAAATACAGCCTTGCTTTCCTCACGACGACCTGGATCAGTAGGCAGGAAAAACATGCCAACCGCATATTGGTCAGGTGGCGGCAAATCAAATCCAAGATCCCTGGCTACCTAATTAATTAAATAAGGTTAATAAATTTGACAAGTAATCAGCAGACATAGCCACTCTTCGCGGGCCAAAAAAAAAATCAACAAAACCATCTTATGTTTGAATTTGCATAAGGGAAGCATTTTTTGAAAAAAAAATCCAAGCAGCAAGATGCACTCATAGGACAAGAAAAAAATGAAAAAAACAGAATCTGACTCGAGAGCAAAACTCATTAAACACAAACAGTAACCTCCTTGTAAAAATCATGCGGAAGCGCTACAAGGATGCCTGCCCCGTCACCGGTGTTGACCTCACAACCGCACGCTCCCCTGTGTGCCATCCTAACCAACATCTCCAAGGCATCGGCAACCTACACAAAATTCAGCAGAAAACATCGGATTAGACTACGACTAAACCAACAAGAGGTCTTCCTCAAAACATATGAATTAATAAAAGGACATATTCACCGTTTCCCGTTTGTACTCGCCGGAAAGCTCCGCAACAAAGCCGACACCGCAAGAATCCTTATCAAAAGATGCATCGTATAGACCCAGCGGCTTCTCCGGCACTTGAGACAGTGACATAGTCGCCGACACCACCTTAAGCATAGGGGAACGCCCCGGCCCATCTGTCCACCAGCGCTGAACCCGCTCGGAAGCCCGCAACTTCGATCCTAACAGTTTACTTTCCAAAAAAACCCCAGGGCACTGCCTCATAAAGGAGCATCTCTCCGTACGGGGCCCGCGATAACCACCCTTCTTCCTATACGCAATCAAAGGGACGCCCACGCACTCATTCTGAACCCTGAAAGCCGTGCCTGGCATCCCTGCCATAGACGACCAGCTTCCGATAACAAGTTGGCCAAACCCAGGATCGGTGTTCAATCAAACAAATCCCTGTATCCCACCAGATCCAGAAACCATACACCGCAAAACCAAAGAACCAGAATACCACAACACTTCTAACAAGATCCCAAATGCCTCCGTCTAATCCCTCCCCTCCACCAAATTACCTCAACGAATCATCCGATCTCACTTTTTCTCTGCAACAACAACAAAAACATAACAAATCGTCAAAATGGACGATCCTTCCGTAAGGATTTTAGCACAATACTTCTGACTAGATCTACCTGTTCCAAGCACAAATCAATAAAGCAGGAATCAATGCCTTCCAAAAACTAAAAAAAAAAATAATAGATAAGCCGTTGAAAATCCGCGAAAATCCTCAGCTCCCAATCCGCCTTCCCTTCCTCAAAACCTCCGGCGGCCTTCTTCCTCGCCGCTCTCGCCGACCAATTCCCTCGCTCCGCACCTCTGTTCCCGGCGCAATTTATAGGATCTCGGGACAGCACCAGCCCAGCTACCACCGAAGTAATCCTCTTTTTTTTAATTATTTTTAATTAAAATAATTACATTTTCGCCACACTGGTTAGTGCTTACGGGTCAGAGTTTGGGACCCAGGTTAAATGGTGGGGCCCGGCAGCTCCGGTTGGCCACGTGGAGGAAAAAGGAACGCCTTGGTGGGCCCCACCTTTCCATCGCGAACCGCCTCCGCGGTGAAATGATAATGCATGGCGGTTGCGGTGTCGCCGTGTGCGGATTAATCTCACCGAGGTATGCTTACCGCCCCGCCCGTAAATTGCTTTCTTGACCGTACCTGACATGTTTGTAATTATGAACAAGAGCTTAAAATTGCATATCTATCCCTGAAGGTACAGGTGCAAAATTTTTAATAATAATCAGAAAATAATATTTGTTTATCAACTAACTCTTCATTCGATTAAATTCGTGTCGAGCGAGCAAAAAATGAACAAATGATTTTGATCCAGACGAATATAAACATTCTATTCATGAGTCGTTTTGAATGAATTGAACATGCATAAATATTGAAATCAAGTCGAGCTAAAAATAAATTAAAATAGATAATAGATTTGGTTGTAACTAGATTTGTGCTCTGCCAATATACAATAAATCACAACCTCTTCTATTTGTGTCATAATCAGTAATGGATTGAAGGAATGTGTCTCTGTGTGTGAGAGAGACACACAGAGAGAGAGAGAGAAAGAGAGGGAAAAATAGCTGCATCCAGATAAAGACTGCGATCCATCGGGAGTCATTTTTTTCTTCGCTCATTTTATTGTCTGTACGCAGTTTGCATCCGGACTCCAGACGTAATATTGTTTCGTGCGAGAGAGAGAGAGAGAGAG